GCCTACACTGGGCTTAAATTTTACAATTCTCCTGCGTTAGCCTCCTCCGGATTAGCTCAGAATACAGGCGTGTGTTGGGGGCCAGGGTGATGGCTTGGTGGAACAAGTGCTTTCCTGACAAGTGCAAGGGCCTGAGTTCAATCCCCAGCTCCACAAAAAAAAAAAAAAAAAAAAAAAAAAAAACCAGCAGCACCATGGGGAGGAAAAATTAGTGTTGCCTGCTGTCCCTGGCACAGGGGAAGGGTGAGAATGAGAAGGAAAGGGGGTGGGTGAGGAAGGGGTTCGGGGCCTTGGTAAGCAGAGCATCAGGCTTGGCACTGGTGAGATGTGGGGGCAGGCAGGAGTGCAGCTGACAGCAGGGCAGGACTATTCGGGGCGATTGCTGTCAGTGGCTCACCCAAAGCCACATGCCTGGCACTTACATGGCCCGTGCAGCGGGCATCCATCAGGGCACCTGGCCCCCTGCCCCAGGCTCCCAGCCGGCCCTGCTGAGGGGCCCAGTATCGTGGAGCTGGCTGTGCTGGCCATAACCAGGCTCCAGTGATCAGGCCCCAGGTCTGCAGGAACCCTGGGTTTCTGGGAGGACTAGGCCAGCACCTGCCCACCATGGGGCTGGGGGTCGTCAGCCCCTGGAACAGTAGAGAGCCCCAAGAAGCGCTCTGGGAGACCCCCACCCTGGGAGGCCAAGGTCGAGTGTGAGGAGCCCAGCACCCACACCCCCTCACCCTCAGCCTGGGGAGGCAGCGGGAAGGACACTGTTCCCAGGAGCTGTCACTCTGATTAGGGGCCTGTGGGGCTGCAGGCAGCCACAGTGACAGGCGTCACAGGCGGTGGGCCAGTTCTGTCCTGGGGTGCAGAGTGTGGGAAGGAGCAGTGGAGGAGGGGCGGACACAGAGACAGAGAGACAGAGACAGAGGCAGACCAAGAGACAGACAGACACAGAGACACAGACAGAGGCTGGCCCCCGACGCCCCAGCTGCGGAAGTTCTCCCAGGAGCGTTTCCCACCTGTCCCCAGTGATGCTACCAACCATCACATGGATACGTGTGGCGTGTGCACCTGTGCTCACACGTGCACACACACACACACACACACACACACACACGCACACACGCACGCACTGCGTGCCTGGACAGGTCTGCTTGGATCTGCCACATCTGCAGAGATCACAGAGCCGGCCTGAGCTTCCTCACCTTAACCTGCGGTACCGTGACCCACCTGCCCCAAAAGCAGACTGTCTGTCCTTGCTTTCCCTGGACACCCTCAGGACTCGCCCTGCACACTGGGTACTGGAAGCTGGGAGAGCACAAGTTCACACAGCCAGGCTGGGGCGGGGCAGCACCCTAAGTCCTACCGCACCCCATCCCTGGGGAAGAGAGTGGCGGATGAGCACCACAGCCTCCCAGCACTGGGAGGCTGAGGCAGGAAGATAGCCAGGGGTTCTAGGCCACCTGAGCTACATATGAGGCCTGTCTCAAAAAGCAAACAAGCAAATCACCCAGCCAGCAAAGGAAGGAAGAAATGGCTTCAGCCCTGGCTACTGAACTGCTCCGAGCAGGGCAGACATGGGGACACAGGACAGCAGGATTCACAGCGCCTGCCCAGGCTGCCCAGCTCTGGCTTGCACCGGCCTTCAGCCCCAATTCCTGGAAGCCCGTGCCTGTGGTCAGCCTAGAGATCAAAGCCTATGTGCTCAGGGCTCCACTTCCCCAGATGGATTACTCTGTGTCCCATCAGGGGCCCAGGAAGCCACCCTCCTCAGTGACCCCTCGTCCTGAGGCTGCACCATGACTGTCCAAGCTGCCTCACCAGGACCCATGCCACATCCTCCTGCCAGCTGGGCAGCATACACATCCCTTGCTTTTCCTGGATGTCCTTCCCTCCCCTTCCCCAGGGTGACCCTGGCCAGCAGTGGAGCCCCAGACCCCTGGGAGAGGTGAGGGACAAAGGTTCCGTCTGTGCCTATGGATGAGGGGCTCTGGCTTGGGTTTCTTTCTGTTCCTTCAGCCCAGAGCCCCTTCCAAGCCTCATAAATCAGCTTAGGGGGGCTGCTGGCCACTCCCAGGGTGCCAGCTGTTAAGATTACAGCCATTGTCTGGTGGAGACGAGGCTGGAGTCTGGAATGTGGGCTGGATCCAGCAGTGGCTCCGGCCTGCCCACCAGGTGCACTGCTGCAGGTGCACAGGTGCACAGGTGAGCAGATGGCAGCCTCCAGCAGGGAGGAGGACAGGGGTCAGGGCTCCCTCTGAGAGCTGGGACCCCCTCACAAGCAGCAAGTCCCAGGGTGCAAGCTGGGCTCCTCCTACCACCCACAGCAAAGGCTCAGACACAATGAGCTTCTCTGAACTTCTGCTTACCCCAGAGCAAAAGCCAGGCAATATGGAGGGATGGTCGGGGACACTGAGGCAGGCCTGGCAGGAGGGGAGGCTGGGGCCGGACAGACAGACCACAGAGAGGTCCTCCTGCAGTCAGAGAAAGGACCTGCAGCTCTCTGACCCTCACTGTCTCAGTGGACCAAGCCCATGGGTGCCATCAGCAGAGGAGGCAGGACCCTCCCCACACCTTGTCCGTGTGGCCCTCATTTCCGCCCTTAGAGGAGCACGTGCCGGGCTCAGTGCCCGCCCTCACTTAGCAGCTCCTTTCTCGCCAGAGGGGCCGGGGCCAGGCAAGGAGTCCCTCCCCTGCGCCCTCCCCTCCTGTCCCTGTCCCCTCCTTTCTGTCACTGGGCTGTTTCATCTGCTCTGCGCTTGTCTCCGAGGCTGGGAAAGGCTGAGCATGCTCTTGGGTGAGTGCAGCCCCCCAAGCTGGGGCTGGGACAGGGCAGGGCAACATGAGGTGGGGGTGCTGCCAGCCTCAACCCTGTCCACCTCCTGTGACTATGGACTGCAAAAGTCACCTGGCAGAGAGGCAGGTGCCACGGTCATTTGCCTCTAATACCCCAAGAACAAAGGTGGGGGTGGGAGCAGCTAGGGAACCCCAGGTGCCCCCTGCAAGCGGGGTCCCCAGGGCTAAGCCAAAGGCTCCAAGTAGCAGATCATGTCCTCGACGCCCCCAGGGCCCAGGGGCAAGTGGAGGCTGGGAGAGCAGATAAAAATGGGCAGGGGGTACGTCTCCCCACTCGCTTCCCACCCAGGACCGGCTAGTCTTCAGCCACCATCCTTCCAGAGAGCCTTTGGGGAACCATGGCCAGGAGAGCTTGGAGCCAGTGACTGGGCTTTGGGGGGCTGGATAGCAACATACCCAGGGTGCAGACCACCCAGAAGTGGAGAGTGTGGGAGCCCCTGGCTGGGGTGGGAACCCTAATCCTACCAGGAAGAGGCGCTCAGCGGGTCTGGGTCCAGCCTCCGTTCTGATCCCCCCATGCTTGGCTCCTTCTTTTCACGGCACCCCCACTTTTCTTGGCAGAGTGTTGGCTTTGTCTGAGCTAGAGATGCAGTGCTATTGCTTGATATGTCCGTGTGCACGCGTGTGTGCCCCCAGTGTGTGGGGCAGCACCATGGGAGCCATCCAGGACCCACCTGGCTTTAGGTCCCCGCGGCGTCCCTGCAAGGGTGTGCAC